ATGGTGAATACATTGCGCTTGAAAAATTGGAATCAGTTTACAAATCAACCTTATTTGTATCCAATCTTTGTGTTTGTGCTGACTCGTATCAGTCACGTCCTGTAGCTTTAATTTTTCCTATTGAAGCACAAATCAGAAAACTTGCAACAGAAAAAAACATAGCTGAAACAGATTTTGAAGAGTTATGCCGAAATCAAGAAATAGCCAATTCGGTACTTCAAGCTTGTCTTGATAAGGCAAAGAAAGCGGATTTCAAACCTGCAGAATTTTTGTCTGCAGTTACATTAGTGCATGAAGAATGGACAGCTCAAAATGTAATTTAAGAAAAAATATCATAATCATATTTGTTAATGTTATTAATTGTTCGTTATATTTATATTATTGTGCTTTTTTTTTTTAAAAAAAAAATAGGGACTTTTGACAGCAGCACAAAAAATTAAACGCAAAGATCTTGAGCAAAAATATCAAGCTGATATTGATAGAATGTATGGCAAAAAATAAAAGATATCATATCTAAAAATTGTGTAATGTATTTAAATATATATTTATAGAAATAAAATCAAATTAAATAATGTATCTATCATTATTATCTGATTTGTAAAGGACTTAATACATTTATTGTTTTCAATGTTTACGATTGATTGATTATTATACAGTGTAAGAGAAATTTTTATAGACTGGGCCATTCCAATCAGTGATATCCGTTAGCAAATATATAAAAAAGATTGTCCATGTGCTTTAATATTTATCACCCGCCAGAGTTAAATCGGTTTTAAAATAAAGTTATTAAGACATCATCTAAATAATTTCTTAGGGAGTAAGTGTTATATTATAAATTAACATTTGCCAATTCAGCCAAAGCCAAAAGGCCGTAACAAATAATCACACGGAATTGATGTTGCATGTAAAGTAAAACTTCTTTATTTTGTATTAGACAAATAATATATGGAAAGTACTATACTAAGATATCATATTCAAAATATAAAGCAAAGGTCATAAGTTATAATTAAACCCTTTATAGTTATGTAAGCTTTTCTCCTATCGGAACTGCAAATGAATTTCCGTTGATTCTATTTTACCATAAAAGGAACAAGACTGAGTGAGGAAAAATCTAATGTATTCAAATTCGCTTCAACGTGTGGTGGTGGCAGCTTGAATATTGAAACTTGCAATATGTTTATGACATAGATAGCAAATCTGATGGTCGGGAGGTACTTATAGATTTCACAAAGAACTTCTAGTACAAGCTTGTGGAAATTTCTGTTTTTCTCAACATCTAAATTTCTAATTAGAATGATTAATAATCACCAACTATTTTTTTTTAATAGCTTTATTATATATAACTAGAGTGACAACGAGTGGCGATAAACACTTACCCAAAATATTCGTTACGATCTTTATCTTATTTCTTTTTTGTTTTTTATTGTTTGAAATAGACATTTTAATTTTTATTATTATTATGAATTATTATCTTTGAAAAATGTGGATTCTAATTTAACTTAATAAACTAGAGTGACAATGAGTGGTGGTGACAACCACCATTCTTATGATAAACACTTACCCAGCAACATCTTCACATTTTGTTTCTTTATTTCTTCTTTACTCTGATTTTTTGTCTCGTGGTATATATTTTTTATTTTTTATTTTTTAAAAAAAAAAAAAAATTTCATATTATTATTATTGGCATTTGAAAAAAACGATCTATTTTTTGACAGAGTCGCCTTTTAATTTATAAATATATTATTGAAATCAAAATGCGGCGCAGATCCTGTTGGGTATTTATTAAGAATCTCATCAAGATGATAGCAAATGAATGATTGGTATTTTGCTTTCCGTAATCGTTAATAAGAGATTAAAAAATCTGATAATGATATCCAACACCAAGCATTGAATATTTAAAGAGATGAGATCTGAATATGTCCTCCATGGACGTGATGGAGGAATTATTGGCATAATCACTTTGTTTTCTGGCACAGAACCAAACAGAAATATTACTGGTAATAGCATACTGAAATGTAAACGTGTTGAGGCACGCCTTGTAAAAAATTTATTCAGTGATTACGCTCAGTGTTTTTTCCGCTATTAGATTCAGTGTTTTTCCGTTTATTATTATTATTATTATTATTATTATTATTAGTAGTAGTAGTATTAGTATTAGTATCAATTCCGTATTTCACTATCACACTAAATTTGAAAAGGGGTAATTTTTCAAAACCGTATAAAAAAACACGTTTTTATTTTCGTAGGGATCTATATCTAGATCCAAATCTGAAGCATGTACGGCATAGGATTTGTAGTAGTGGTGAATTTCCCACGAGATTTCCGTCCACTGTTTCTAGATTTACGAGACATGTTTGATATATAGTATCGTATGGCGTCAATACATTCAAAAATTTTTTATTTTTTTATATTTCGTAGACGGTGCATTAATTCGGAATTTGAATAAATTTATGCCTTTATATAAAAAATTATTTGCATCTCGGATTTTTGACGATGGGCTATCGCTGAAAATTCAATCATGTTATCTTAATTACTAATTTGAATCTTATAAAGGGTGAGAATCCAAATCTGAATACAATGAGGCTTGGATCAAAAAGAAGGATGATTTCATTATTATTAGTAATAGTAACAGCAGTATAAATAATTGTATTATCCTATTCAAGTAATAATAGTAATGATAACAGCTAATGCAGAGCGAAAAATTTCTTTATTATGCATAGGAACTTAGTATCCTGGCGGGAATGGTTACATGTTTTACTCCTCTCTATATACATTAATTCATGGTCCGCCGATCAAAGATGCTATCATTGATATAACAAACAATTGCATCATACAGGTAATAAATAATACCAATACCATGCAAAAATGAAAAAAATATGTGTATTACCCAGGTCTCTGGGTAAATACAAAAACCAATAAGTCTACTCCTCCTTTGGACCAGGTTGACTGGAGGATCAAAAAGAAAATTCCTTGTCTCAATTATATAATATCTTACGAATAATAAATCTGATGATGATCATAGGTGTCAGATTTAAATAAAGTATCCTATCACGAACGTGCACATACCCCTTACAATGATAAGGTAGCATACCAGAATAAAGTCCGGTGACACGTCAGTAGGCTTTCTTCAAAGACATACAAAAGCTTCTCCAACCCACTCTGAATTGCAAAATTCCCCAACATTATAACTTACCCTTCAATCCAAATGCCTACAACCTCCAGAGTTGCAACTTGTTGGGGAAGGGTTGGATCTGCACAGTGTACCTTCTAGATATGCAATCTTGCTAAATCACAGAGCATAGCGATAACCCCCTGAAATCCATTGCATCATATCAATCGTCGGACATCGCAAGTCAGATTAGCCTTATTTACACAAGGAATGTGAGAATGACTGTAATGAATCAAGGATGTTTATAATCAAATGTTGCCTATCGAGTCGTGAGCCAGTTGTGCTGCCTTGACATGTGATTGTATATTTAATATTATTAATATTATTAATATTACAAAAAGCAAAATACCAAATTTTGATAATTACCCAGGAAGTTCCGCTCCTTCTGTCAGCTAAGGAAGTCGTAGAATTAACCTGCTTGCCCAAAGTTTTTTTTCCTTGTTAATAAGACAATATAAATAAAAAATAGTATCTCTGGTTAGTTTTCAGAGCCAAGCCATACATGCCGTATATGTTGTTGTCATCTTGAATCCGCGTCATCGCGTCATCTTGGATTCAAAAAACAAAATTTTTGTATAACCAAGTGCCAATAAATAATAGAAACTCACTATATATAATAAAAACTGGGCGATCGACATATATAAAGTCACATGGGGAACTTGGTTTTTTCAAAAATGTAAAAATTTCTCTTTCCCTTGTATTAAAATAAATAGTTTACCTGTAGATTCCATGTAAAATACATCTATGAATTTTATGAAAAAATAATAGAATTGCAACATTACAAAAAAAAAATGTAACTAGTTTTAAAAAAACTTGTTACAAATTATTCATTGTTATTAATTCAGTCTTACATGTTTGCAGAATAACAAGTTATCCAACTTTGTATAACATTCATTACCTAATTATGTGTTACTTCGTAATGGTGTAGAAGTATTTTCTTTAGAAAACCAGAAACAACAGGCATTGAGAGGAGTGGAAGAGTTTGGCTATAGCGTAATTCAGCAATAGTTATTCACTTATTTCATTTATCAGGCCTGTCAAGCTTTACAAAATGAACATTTACCAATTATTCAATAGTTTTTTTTTTCCATCGCAGAAATTCATTATCATGAATTCTAGTTAATTTTTATTATTATTATTATTATTATTAAACTATTTTTGATTAACTTGGTTTTTTTTTTTTTGATTAAATAAATAATATTTTATAAGATTGCAAATGAAATAGGCAGAAATAATGTTTTTTAAACGTAGCAGAAGTAAGCAGACTCTTGGTATATATGACCGCCAACAGATTTTGATTTTTCGCCGCAGAAATTCATCGTGGCATATAAGGTAATGATAGTTGTATAATAATAATAAGGAACTGCATGTGACATGAAATATTTTTTACACATTAAAAAAATTACAATATGACAATTATTCCAGCACCACCACCAGCTCGTTATACTTATTTGATATCAAGGTAAAATTTATTTAATCAACTAATTAATCAATCGAATCCTACCTATGAATCTTTTTTCTTATATTAAATTTATTTTTTATAGACGTGGCGATTTTTTAATATCGATTTTTTCTGGTGCATTATCTTATTATATATATGAAATAGAAGAACGAAAAAAAAATAATGATAGAAAAAGTTTAAAGCAATTAATTATGAACAGAGTAAACAAAAATTTTTCGAAGCAATAAACCAATAAATAATCAATTAAATAAAAAAATAATCAATCAATTAAATAAATAATCAATTAATTAAATAATCAATAATTAATCTAAATAAATAAATAATCAAATAATTAATTAACTAAATTAATAAAAATTGTTATTGGAATTGTTAATTTGATTGCCTGATCTTCTTTTTCCATTCGTTACTATTGATCACACTATTTATAATTTGTATACCACGATGTCCCCATATTGGATTTAATTCAAAAGATTTTTTCTCGGCTAACTCAACTGTAACTTGTTGTGGTGTTGTACCTCTTTTTGAAGATTCTTTTAGAATATCTTGAGTACGCCTAAAAATTGAGTTCTTTTGATTTCCATCAAAATAATAAAAATGAGCAAGTACATGAATGATATAAATGAAATAATTGCAGTTAATTAATAGATGTATATATGTATTGTAGTGACTGGTTTTGAATTTCGCATTTTCACGCATAACGCATATACAGATATATTGTAATTTTTGTTTATTTACCTCCCAAGAATCTCCTAAATGTCTCTGAAATAAAGGATCGTTATCAACATATCCCGCTGATTCGTCTGCACAGTTCACAATCCCTTTATAATCGAAAAAAAAATTCAATATTTTTTTGTTTTTTATTTCATCCCCCCCCCCCTTTCAAAAAAAGCAAATAATAATAACAAATACCCATGCGATTAATCAAAAAATCTAATTAAATTAATATTAAATAAGTAATGTTATTAATATTATTTATCGTCAATTTTTGTAACATCACTATATAATGATATTATTACCTGGTACATAAATAATTCCTCTATCAGCAAGTAATTTATCATCTTTATATAGATCTATTATTAATGTAACGTTATAGCAAAATATTAAAATCCTATTTTTTTGATCACATTGCAATATTATAATCATAATTATTTGCTACTACTATTAATAATGCATTCGTTTGTCAACTCACCGCCTAATTGATTGTTAGCTGCACCACATACAATTTTTGTTTTAATACGTGGAATTGTGTTAGGATTAAGAATTCCGCCAACTGCACATGGAACAATTGCATCAACATCTATGAAATGAAATGATTTATTTAACAAATTTAAAGTAAATATTAAAATCAAGCTTAAAAATCAAAGTATAGAATTCATTTCATTTAAAAAAAACTCTCTTTACCATGAAACAAAATTGACAGATCACCACCTTCTAATAAACTAAGCTTAACTCTATCATTTAAATTTCTTGCAACAATTTCAGATTTAATATCTTTTATTCTTTCACTATTTATATCAGATGCAAAAATAGATTTTACGCCTTTTTCAATTAGAATATCCATAATATATTTTCCTACATGACCAACACCCTAATAAGATGACAAAAAAAAAATTAAAATTAAACAAATATAATCATATAAATATACACGCTCTAACGTAGTTTTGTTTGTTACCTGAATCGCGATTGTTGACCCTTCAAGTTTTTTCCCAACATGTAAAAAAGTTGCTTCAAGTGCACGAACCACACCGCATGCCTTTAATAAACAACAACTACAACATCATCCATCATATTTTTTTTTTATTTGAATTAAAATATAAATTAATTAATTAATTTTCGGAAAATAAAGAAAAAATCATTAAATACCGTTGGAAAACTTGGACTACCAGATCCGCCAATTTCTGGTGGAATACCTAAATAGAGAAATTTTTTATTTTAAAAACTTTCATTTCTGTTTTTTTTTTTTAATTTGGAAAATATGACTGTGTTTGATAAATTACATGTTGTAAATCTTGTTTTAGAATATATTGACACCATATCATCATCTTTAAATATTAAATGAATAAAATAATAAATACCATATTATAATTAATAATACGCATACACATATATAAATATAATTAAATAAATATTTACTTGCCATTCATTCCCACATCTTCAGCTGTAACATAACAACCTTTCAACTCACTAACGAATTAATTAAATTATTCTATATAATATTTTTTAATTTATAAAATACATTAAATATTAAATCATTTCAAACTACCTTAAAAAAGTTCCATACTCTTCAAAAACAACACGACGTTGTTCTAAATTGCCATTATTTAATCCTCTTGAGAAAAATTAAATTAAAAAAAAATTTTCATTTTAATAATCACCAATTACAACAATCGAGCTATTAATTTCAATTACTTACAACCCAACACCTGAATTAGAAGCCAAAACACCTTTTCCACCACCCCACCTTTTTAAAACATGCATGAGAATGTATATTTAATAGGATCCATCAAATAATCATAATCAAAAAAGATTTCATTTCTATTTTACCAACTAACCATAATTCAGCAAGCGCGTTTTTATGAGTCATTCCTCTTGATAATCTCAAACCATCACGAAACCAATCTTCAACGCGCTCATAATGCCAATTTCTAACACCTCCTGCTCCTGAACCACGACATGTTCTATGAATAAATGCACCCTATTATTACAAGGTAACAACGAAAATAATTATTAGATCAAAGGGAAACAATGTAAGTGTGAATATATTGGCAAGTAAATATACCTGCAATACACCAGATTTAGGTCCAATCTAATAATATTGAAGATAATAAATAATATTGATAAATGATTAAAAATTAAGAACTTTTATTAAAGCAACAATTACACTAATAAAATCACCTGTCCAAAAAATCCTTCATGTTTATCAAAGTCCCAACCTTCATCTATAAAATATCTATAAATAAATAAATGACACTTATTTAATGACAATGATAAATACTCTTTCATGCGTACAAATATCATCAAAATCTTACTCTCCAATAGCTTTAACCTCAGGATGTGAGGCCTCAATTTTTCCAGTTTTAGAGTTAAATGTTGCATGAAAAGCGTTGATACCAAGTGAACGAAGATGTTTAATGAAACTAAAGCGGATAATGAAGTATATAAATACATCACTTTAGTTATTACATATATCTTCCTTTTTTTTCTTTAAGCATAGACAAACAAACCTTGTTGGCGACTGTGAAAGGATTTGTGGTTTTACAAGTGAACGCATATTTTTTGTATATCCAAAATTCTTTACAAATAATCTAGTAGAGATTTTTTTGATCGGAAAAAAAATTATTATTATTAAATTTATTAAGGGGATGTACCCCAAAATTATGTTGGGGTAGATTCACGAAAAAAATTCGGCTATTTTCAAAATGTCTAAATCAACAACCTAATTAATTCCAACAAAGATCTTTTATCATTAAAATATATTGAGAAACTTGTAAATGATTTGGCAAAGTTTTTGAATGAACCAATTTTTTATGATGTAAAAATCAGGGTTGGAGTAGACCAGGTTGATAAAACTTTCAAAGCTCACTCTACAATTTTGAAAGCAAGTTCTAATGCAAGTTTTATCAGATAATTGGATAAAGAATCAGATGACAGTACTTTTTATTTGAAAAAAAAAGAAATTTTATCGTTCTTTTAATGTAAGAATTAATCAATTCAACTCATTAAATAATAATGATATTTGTGTTAAACAATATTCCAAAATTGTTTATATTTTAAAAGATAAAATTATTAATATAGATAATTTGGAAGTATATGAATCCTCGAACTTCTTAAAGCTTGTGACAAATTAGATTTTAATGGATTGATTGAGGATCTACAAAATCATTCATTATAAGGTGAAAAAGAATGGATCCGATTGAATTTGATTTAAATTCATAAAATTTCATCAAAATATCAATCATTTTGAAATCCAATGATATCTCAATGATTGAAAGAACCACGTTCATATCCATATTGGAAAGAGATGTTTTATAATTTGGTGAGATTGATATTTAGGTTATGCAGTGGGGAATAGGATAAAATGAAAAAGATATTTCTGAGTGGAGCAAAGAGGATTGAAGAATATATAATTTCATTGATAAGAGCAAATTAATTCTATAAACTTCTACGATACGATAACACCTCTCAAAAAAGCTTTAATAAATAATTATATAAAGAGCTTCTTATAATCCAGTTTGTTGGAATACAAAAGATAGTCCTCCAAATGAACATTATTGGATTCAAACTACAAAAGATTTATTTTTAGGATTGATAAAAGCCTAACACTAATTCAATACTAAATAGAGTTAAAAATTCTCAGGATATTGATTACGTGAATAATGTACAAATATAAATACATTTAATGGCATTAACAATGAACCTACCTTCCTTATATTCTTTATGATCCAAAGGGTTGGGATATTTATGAAAATAATTTGAATTTTAGAAATAACGATAAAATAGTTCATTCGTTAAAAGAATATGAAGTTTATATGTTGGCAAAAAAAACATTAGATATTTGCAAGAAATTAAAAAACATGCTTTGTGTAAAACAATTATTTTTATCAAAATTGTTTCTGAAATTTTTTCCCGAGGAAGTTTGAACTCTTCCCTACAAATAGGGTGTAAATGATAAAAAATCGTTAGTTTTTAACATTTTTTTGTTTATTTTTAAATATAAATAAATATATATAAATGTATAACGTATGAATGTGTATATTATAAACGCTAATGTATAAATTATAAATATGTAATGAATGTATGAATAAATGCGTAATATATATAAGTACGCATAATTACTATGAAAAAAATATTTTTTAGCTTTCAATAATTACAAAGTCACTAAGATCAGGTGAATTATTTGGCGTTATGCCATTTGATGTTAATGGTGTTAATGAACCTTCAGATGGAAAATGTGTAGAATTATTGGAAATTGGAATAGCTGTTTCTCTACAACTTTTATAAGTAGATGATGCAATATAAATATGCGAATGTGATTTTTTATGTAATTTACCACTACTGTTACCATTATCATTAATAATGCCACCATCATTATTATTTTTATTACTACTACTAATACCACCTCCACCTCCATCACCATCACCATTACCACAAATCTTATGATGGGAAAATGAATCTTCTGTTTGTGCTTCATGTAAAAGGTTTTTTAAAGTTTGTGAAAGTTTTATTTTGTCTTTCTCGTGTGGACATGTTAAATTAACCCAAGTGTTCTCACATCTTTCTCCATTATACTTTTCTTTATTCCTTTCGTGCATTTCTTTAAAATAAACATCATCATATTCTTCTTCTTCACTATAATCCTCATCATCGTTGTCATAACAATCTAATGCTAACGATTCAATTGTTTTTCTTAATAATTTTAAGGAAACTTTGTTCGAGTAGAAATATTTTAAATCAACATAGCCTGATTGATCTAAAAGTGAAGATGTGGAAATATCTGCCGTATCGTTATTTATAGATGCACCATCCTGTATGATTGAATTAAGAAACATATCTTCAACATAAATCTTGTCATTATCATAATCATCTTCACTTCCCTTATCACCATTGTTTTCTGATGCAAAATTAGAACTACTTGATTTATTATTAATTTTTTTATTGTTAAGTTTATTACTGTTGAGTATCAATGATTTACATATAGATAATAATTTCTCGGGTATTTTAATTTCTGAAGGAAGCATAATCTCTGGTCCAGGTGGTACAGACAACAACGCTATTGAATGATCATCTTTTGGAAAATAATAATCAGACCATAATGTGACTACCCTGGCACCAGTATCGGGGCGTAACACTTCTTTTTTCCATGCACGATCAAAGCGAAAACAATTATTATAATTATTGTTAGTTTTGGATGATGGTGACGACGATGATATTTTCTGATATCGTTCATTTTTGAACCATCGTCGATGTTCATGCACCCATGACCATATGCTTCTAGTTCTTTCACGCAATCTAATTGTTTCTCTTTCAAGTTCGGAATTGCATAGAAAATCTCCAAAAGGCGAATTTCCAGCTGCTGCACGAGCTAAACAAAGCAACAAGAAATCGTTGAACTCAAATGAAGCAGGGAATTGCTCTAAAAGGTGATGAACACATGTTAAGAACAAAAGAAAAATAGGCGATGGAACGGGTGCTGTTGAATTTATATCTGATGCTGGTGATGTTGACGGTGTTGAATAGTCATAATGTAATTTAGTTGGGAGTTCACTACGTGCTCTAAACTGATGACCAAAAGTAATCCATTCTTTTTCAATTAATACTCTAAATCCTTTCAAAGTACGATAATATGGATCTAACATTATTTGTGCAAGTGAAACTAGTTGTGGTGTTCTATCCCAACCATCAGTACAATGCACTAACACACTCTCATCCTCATCAATTATCTTGGATACAACTCCATTTTTTCCACCTGCTGCTTTGAGCAAGCCAGATACACAATTTAACCATCCAGTAGACTCTAATATTGAAAACCAATTGGGTGACGAAGAATTCGTTGCTATTTCTCGTAATAGTTTTGTATGTGCACTTGAAATAGCATGAATATTTGGAAGATTCAACCATTCCAATGTAGTATTTTGCGGATAAAAATCTATTTAACAAAAAAACTTTTGAAATCAATTAATTATTTTTTTTAAAAGATTAAATTCTAAAGAAATTTACCCACCCGTATTTTCATAACCACCACCATTATAAATATTTGATAAAGCAGAAGTGTAATTTCTTGCATCCAAAATGCACATTTTAATTTGACATTTTTCATCAAAATCTGCAAGATTTCTAGTAAGTTTACCATGTGAAGTACTTCCTACTTCAAAATCCAACCCCTCTTTTTTTGCTTCAGCTATTTCTCGTTCCTCTTCACTGACTGTACCTAAAATCTCTTGAATTAAAATTTCGTCTTCCAAACCACGTGAAGAAAAAATTCCTACCATTGGTTGAGCACTACGCATCAAAACATGATGACCTTTTTTCCAACAAACAACAGGAAATCTACTACGAAAATTTGCTAGTTTATAAAAAAAACTATCAAGCCCTTGTTTTTTCTTCAATTCGTGATTTTTTAAAATTTTGGAAGGTAAAATAAAATCTTGTGGATATGTTTGCGATAAAGAATAATCCATATTAACACGTAAAATATTCCTTAATATTAATAATGAATAAATTTATTATTAAATAAAGTATTGTTATTATTGTTATATTTATAAAATCGTAAATTTACCATGATTCATTATCCAATTTCAAACGTTTAAACTCCTTCTCAATTTGATAACCTGATGTCCACCCTAATTTCTTATAACATTGAAATATTTCTTCATTTATTCCTTTGCAGGCAAGTTGATTTTCATGTTCCATTCCATCATTGTCATCCTCGTCTACATCGTAATCATTATTATCATTACTTAATTCTGAAAATAATTCTGATAATATTTTATCATGATTTTTTCTTCTCTTGATGGTTTTGTTTTTATTGTTATCATTTTTATTTCTAGTTGTTTTTCCCGCGAGACCGCTATTATTATTGTGATCAAAATCATTGCTTTGAGAAATATAACTTTCTCCCATACGAAAAGCAAAAACATCTTCCAATACAACAGTATTTACATTTTCTTTTAAGATAGAACCAAATTCCACACATAAATATTGATTAACAGTATTTCCAGAAAACTTTGTTGAATTAGACCTTGGAAAAGTGAATAAATATCTAAATGGAAAAAATTTTAGTGATATTGTAATTTGTGATTGTGATTCTTCTAATGAGGAAACAGAAAGGTGAGGAATTTGAATGGTGAGTGAAATTATTGAAGTTGATTCGGTGGTTAAAGACGTCAAGGAAAGGTTATCAGAGTGATTTCTTATGGGATGATAACATGTTCTATAATTTGTTATCAATACAATGGACTTGAAATATGAAAATTTTATTGTTAGTTGCATATATATAATATAATATAATAATAATAATGAGATGTGGGAATTTACTTCATTTACAATATCCTTTTGGCCGCAAAATTCATCATCATATCCGCATTCAATGAATCCATTTGAAGTTTCTTTAGATAATTTGATCGCATTTGTTTTATCTATAAATTCTATTTTTTCACCGGGTAAAAGAGCAATACCTGGCGGTAATAATGATTTTACGTTCTCAGGTTCAAAAGACATTCAAATTTATAATGAAATAAATTGAATTGAAAGGGTTTATTTATAAGTGCAACAAAGTTCACATTATATTACACAAGGCTTACCTGTACTACCATCTATTACTATAATCGTCGTTTGTTCTAACTGCACATTTATTATTATTACGCTTACACTTCCTTCTTGGCACACATTTTTTCGAACCAGTAACAAAGTAAAGGTATCGAGACAAGTCCACGAGCAAGAAATTTGTAATGGAACTTTCTTAAAATTGACTAAATAAAGAGATATAAATATATAATAAAGATTAACAAATAAAGAAATATGAATTAATAATATGATAACAAATGATAAAAATTAAGGAACTCGTAATTTCTTTTATGACACACCCCATTAATTTCAAGAATAACTGATCAGTCGATGGTAAATGGGACCCTAGTTCGGCCCTTGGATACTATTTCATATCAATGATTATTGAAAAGGAAATAAAAAACCCTTTCAAGAAATTTATTTGGTCATGAAAAGTAATCTAACCTACCATCAATACAAAAAGACAAGTTGGCAACTCTAATCCATTATTAGATAACACCAACCAAAAAAAAAGCAGATAAAGTATTTAAAGTAATAAATATTTGCAATATTTTATTTTCATTAATGACAATTTAATAAATGATTGATTATTGAATGGATTTGTCGCTTGTTTTTAATACAACAACCAACTCAATATTAACCATCAAATCAAAAATAGAAAAATATCTGGAGGATGTTGAAAAATAAATGGTAGATAAAAATGAATGCGTGTAACCTTCTTGTCTATTATGCTGCACGGAGCACATTATCTGCAACAATTAAATTTGGTTAGATAATTCATGCACGAGTAATCATGAGTCATGCATGTATGTGGATGATGATCACAGTTAACAAAATTGAATTCCAAAATTTATTTTTAACATTTAACATCATATGATTTACAAACATAGTTGTGAACCCTCAGAAATTATTCGTTTCACAAAAAAATATCCGCAAAATTATTAATATTATTATATTGGACCTTAAATCCGTTAAATCAAGAATTTTAATTAGTATCTGTTAAGTCGAGATACACTAAAACGAGATTCGCTGTGTAGATATTAATATTTGCAGTGGTGGTGGGAATTTGTAATACTAAATTAATTAGTTGATAATAAAAAATTCTCTTAACATCCATCTTTACATCCGGAATTTTAGTGCAGAATTCGATGGCATAGACACTCGGTTGAGATGGGTCCATCTGCATTACTTGGAATGACAAAAAGAATATCTTGCTTTATTGAAAAACAAATGATTTTTACATGGAAAATTAATTATCTATCTGATATAACAAAATCTTTTTAAAATTTAAAAAAAAACATTATATTAACTTGTGAATTATTATTCTGCAAATTCAATAAAGAAAATATTCATGATAAAAAAACCATAATAGCTCTTATTTTGAATTAAAGTTTGTTATCAAGAGCAATTTTCAACAAAAACTTTCTAAATTCGTAAATCATTTCATTTAAGGAAAATGGTTTAAAGTTCATAGAAACAACTTGAACAAAAACTCTCATGAATTTCTAATAATGGCAAAAAATAGTTCATAGAACAGAAATTGAATTGATTTATTTAGCTAGGATTGAGAAAAAAAAATTTTTACTACAACTAATCGGATTTCATGTGAATTGTCAGAAGAGTTATCATGCATACTATTTACAATAATCTAATTGCAGTGTCGTATAACATATATTCTTCACAATCATTGCTAAACGAAAAGCTTATAATTGTGAATAAATAAGATTTTATTATTAACAATATGTTTAAATTACAATAAATATAAATTAATGTATGTAATACAATTTAATATAATATAAATAATTTATGTTTGTATTTGTGTTTGTGGTTTCACATTTAAATTAGTTGAAAAACTAATACTACTAGAAATTCTAACAGAACCAGTGATTGTGTGCCTAGTATTTACCACTGATCCTAACCCGATTACAACCCAAAATGATAAACTTTTCGTAACTTGATTATCCTCATTAAATGATAATGATGAATCAACTTTAAGTTTCTCATTTGAATTATCTTCAGTTTTAGTGTCAACATTATCATCAGATTTAGAATCCGGCATGATTGCCTTAGTAGCATTAGTAGATAAAATTGATGATTCAATATTATCATCATCAGTAATCTTGCTAGTACAAGTAACTAATAATGCAAACTATAAAATAATGGAAAAGTATTATTTACATTAATACATATACAAGTATATATTACCACTATTAACATCATTTGCAAACCTTAAACTCTTCCACTTCAGCTTCGGGTGTGATTTCCAAAATGATGCTTGTAGAATTACTTCTTCTTTCATAAATACCAATATCAGATTTGGGTGTACCAGATATTTGAGAGCGAGACTTTGAAGGAATCGAGTCTTGTTCATCATATTCCCATACTTCATTATATGGTGCAATACTAAAATGCGGCGCAAGAACTTTAATCTATAAAAAAAAAAAAATCAATCACCATAAATATTCAAAACATCTTTATACATTTAAAATATAGGTTTTTTTTTAAAATTTTGCAATATTTACTTTTCCAAATTCTACATCTTGCACATCTAAATCTAATATAGCTTCTTCGTACAATGGATTTGAAAATTTTAAAATAATCTGGGTGGTTTGATTTAGTATAAGTTTTGGTAGACTCATAATAGTAATTTTTGGAATGTAGGCTCTACAAGATCAAAGAAATAAAATTGAATTAGAAGATTCCCAAAGATTTTTATTTACATGATATTGTTAAAAATCAACCCACTTACAAAGCAATAAGTTTAATTTTAAATCTAGTTGATTGAGCTTTTTGTTCAGGTTTTATTAATATGTGACGACATTGTCTACATCTTTTAACACGTTTTGTACGAAGATGTGTACGCTGTGGTTGAAGGTGACTATTAAAATAAATATTGATTTAAATTATTTGATGATTAATAAATTATTTGATTGATTAGTACTTACTCTACTTTGTATGGTTGATCGCTTAGTTGATTCATCCTTTGCATTAACGTTGTAACTTTTAATAAATAATAAATAATAAATAATTGATCAATAATAATTGAAAGAGCCGTATTAAAATAGTAATTGTTTGATAATCACTTTGATTGATATCTTTTAATTGAACCAAATCATCAACCAATACGCTTTCATTTTCAACTCTAATGGCAGCTTCATATGGGGCAAGATCATCCGATTTTTGTTGGGTATGAGATAATCCACCAGGAATAGCCACACCACCATATCTACTACTAAAATTACCTATCCCTGTAATGGATGTTGGCAATGTTGCAGCTGGAGTAGTGTGTCGTAAATGTTTTTCAAAATGTTCTTTGAGATGATCAAATTCTTTAACATCAGGTCTTTCGTCTTCTGCTTTTTGAAGTTGTGCTAAATTCATCATCGTCACCAACATCATCATTATTAATTAATAATAATAAAAATATCAATTATGGGGTGAGTAAACAAATTATTTCTTATTTTCCATTTCGATCCGCTCTCACATCTTTTTCATAATAAAAAAAAGTTAATGATTACATGCTAGTCCAGTTGCTTTCTCAAAAGTCATTCCAATTTCTTGCGAGTCCCATCGACAAACACCACATGAAAAATAGTATGGTGCACCGCTAATTGTCTCAGGTGAAATCGTGGTAGAATCTGCGCTAGTAATTAGTGCTGTTGAAGAAGTGAGAGATGATGGTGTTGATTCAGTGGAAGCAACAATCGAAAGTGTATTTTGACATATTGGACATTGAAAACAATTTCTTGCACATCTTTAAATAATAATAATAGTAATTATTGATTATTGATTTGTTAATTGGTTGGTTAGTTAATTGAATAAAGGAATATTTTAAAAAAACACGCACAATAATATACTTGCTAGCCAAACCTATTAGCAATTTGTTTACGACATACCTATTCCTTTCACTTTTTACACTAGCGGTTGGAACTTCAAATAAACAATTGGGACAATAATAACAGACTATTTCTTCTTGTACACATCTTGGACAACGTATTTGATGACAATGCTCACAAAAATAAAGTTTAGATATATTGAAAGTTGTAAAGTGAATGCATGGCGAGTTGATATCGAAAAAAGGTAAAGTTTTTGTTGTGGTTGCTGTGATTATTGTTGTTGCTGTTGTTTCTGTTGTTTCTGTTTCTGTTTCTGTTGAAGTAGTTATAACGCCAGGAACCTCTGTTGCTTCTTTTTTATCATTATCATTTTTAACTAAATCAGGACATGAGCAATGATAATGTACATAAGGGGACATATGGCGCTTTTCAGTTGACTGCGAAGAAGTAGTTGACATTTTTTTTTAACTGAATTTTTTTTTGAATTAGAAAATATAAAGACATGTATGAAAGAACGTGAAAATCAGCACATACGAATTTATATTGTACTACTACTACTTCCTCAAGTGAAAATTTTGAATACATAAGCCACCGAGCGTCACATGATTTTTATCCTTCATAATCTCTTTTTATTGGGTTAAATAAATGTAATAGTTTAATTTATAGACTTACCTTATTTAAAATTTGTGTATTTTATATGTATTTTAGGAATGGTATATAAAAGATTTCAGGGGTATATATCGGGTAATAATAATAAAGTAAAATTTTGTATTATTAGTCACAGGACATGTCACATTGGGGTGTTACAAATTTCAATAAACACAAACATAGTTGACCTCATAGGCAGAAGTTTGTCTGATTGGCTAATTTTGCCGATCAATTTCAATTGAGTTCGCATATTATTTATATAGTTT